AGCCGATGTTGAGAGCCACTGAACAAAGCAAAGATTACAAACTCAGCATCTTCAGCACTTATTCACTCATTTCTATTGTTTCAACTGTATCATGGTACACTGGCTGATGTTTGCAGATGTCGTCCCACTTGCACTTCCTGAAACCTCAAACTAAAGGTATCTCCCAGAATACATTTTTTTGTCTTTTTTTTTTTTTGCTTGTGTCATTTTGTAAATGTTTATATGTACATTTGTACATACAGAAAACTATATGAAACTGTTTTAAGATGTGAAAAATCTTTAGTGAAATAAAAATGTGATGTAATCCAAAAAAAAAAAGAAAAAAGATCTGTCTGTTTTTTATCATAACTTATTTTGGATCTTGATAAGCCGCTGAGATCATCGAGATTTGGATGGATGACACAATATTTTGGCAGAGCCATCTATCCTCTGTCCGTCTCCACATTTCCACCCCCATGTCTTTCCCAGTCTCTCGTCTCTGCCCTCTCTTGCTTTCATCTCCTCTGATACAACATACAGAGAGGCTTAGATTTCAGACTCAAAACCAAACATGGACTAAGAGGGGGACAAAAAAAACACCCAAGAACCCAGAGAGAGGGAGGCCCACAAGCGAACTGACAGCTGGGTGTGAAAGTGTCACTCTCACCTCCTTGCTCATACTCTTTCACTCTTTTTTTTTTTTTTTGCCCTGTTTTTTCCCTTTCTTTTTCTTCTCTGAACATCGCCTTTTGAGGAAAAGCTGAACATCCGTCCACACAGCTGTATGTTGGAATGAGGAGAAAACAAACCTCAGAGCTGACTGAAAACTGTCAAAACTCACCGTTCCTTGTAAAACCGCACAACATACACACTCAAAATCAGAACATTAGAACTGAGCTGTTTGCTTTTCCGTGATAACGTCATAGCTTAAATTCAATGCAGATGATCACAGAGTCTCAGGTATCTTGTGCAATGCTGCACCCACAAATGTGTGCAGTAGGATAAAGCAGAACATCATTCAACTGTGCCTGATGGGATGGATTAAATATGGTAGTCTCCACCGCTTTGATGTTTCGGTTCAACATTATGTCAGGCATTATGTGAAAAAGTAAATGTATGCTTTATAATACAAAAAATGTTCCTTTAGCTGTGCAAATACCATAAACCAAAAGTGAGCTTTCAGATTAGTTTGAGGACAAGCTTTTACAAACATGGCATAAAACTGTAGAAACATCGTTTTAAGGTTTTATTCCAGTGCAGTAAATCTCAGTATCGCAGTAAAGTGAATGAAAATTCTACTAAAATACAATACTTGAAATTTAAAATTGGGATTTACTACATATGACAATAAGTTTTTGAAATATAAATCATTTGGGCACTTAATTACATTTACATGTACAACTACTCATTAACACATTTAGGCAAGGTGACATGCTTAAGTTCAAACTGAGCATCAGAATAAGGAAGAAACATCATTTAAGTGACTTTGAATGTGACATGGTTACTGGTGCCAAACAGGTGGTCTGAGTATTTCACAAACTGCTGATCTGCTGGGATTTTCACACATAAGGTTCACAGACAAAGGTCCAAAAATTCAAAAAAATCCATTGAACAGTAGCACAAGAGGTCAGAGAAGAATGGACAGACAGGAAGGCAACAGTAACACAAATAATCACTTGTTACACCCAATATGCAGAAGAGCATCTCTGATTGCACAACACATCAAGTCTTGAAGCAGATGGGCTACAGCAGCAGAAGACCGCACAGGGTGCCACTCCTGTCAGCTAAGAACAGGAAACTGAGGCTAAACTTTGCACATTCTCACCAGAATAGGACGACAAAAGACTGGAAAAATATTGCCGGGGCTGATGTGTCTCAATTTCTGCTACAACATTTGGATAGTAGAGTCAGAATGTGGCATAAACAAGACGAAAGCATGGATTAATCTCACCTCGTATCACTGATTCAGGGTGCTGGTGGAGGTGTAATGATGTGAGGGGTATTTCTTGGCACATTTTGGGCTCCCTAGATCTTACCAGAGTATCACTGCTGATCACATCCATTCCTTTGGGACCACAGTGTACCCATCTTCTGATGGCTGCTTCCAGCAGAACAATGCACCATGTCAGAAAGCTGAAATGATCTAACACTGGTTTCTTGTTCATGACAGTGAGCTCACTGCATTCAAATGGCCTCCACAGTTAAGCCAATAAACGACCTCTGGGATGTGGTGGAACAGGGCATTCACATAATGTATGTGTTGCCAACAAATATGGAGAATTGTGTGATGCTATCATGCCAAAGTGGAGCAAATTTCCAGCATCTTGTTGAATCTATGCCATGACGAATTTTGCAGCTCTGAATAGAAAAGAGGCAATTTTTACCAAAGTGGCCAGTGAGTGTATTTTACCATCTTTCTTGTCCAAAACTTTAGCTCTTATTTTATGCTTTAATTCATACAAAAGGTCATTAACTTTCACTTAATGAAGGCAGACACGTAAACAGCTTCACTGGCACAACACTCGAAGGAGTCTGAGCAGCTCCGATAAAAAACACTGTCACAAAAAGAAAAGGGATTGCAAATTAATAACAAAGAGATCAACCATAAATCAGAAAAATAAAATTCTTCTAAATCAATATAGCAATGACCTTCAAGTAAAGAAAAATGTGTGAAAAGACTAAATGTCAAACAGATGCAAAGCTAAAACTAAAAGCTAAAAACTAAAGAAGAAGGGTGACAATTATACACCAGAGACTGCTGAGAAAGGTCAAGTTTTGAAATGTCTAGAGTGACAAAGCAGCTCGGCTCTGACAGCTGTACACAGGAGGGAGCAGTCAGGTGACTAAGGGGGAGTGGGTGAGGCGGGGTGGTTGGGCAAGAAGGGTCAAAGAAAAGTTAATGAGCAAACTTTAGATGATTCGTATAAAATTTACCCCAAGAGACGAACAATAAGTGAAAGTTTTAATGCACAACTTTTAAATATGAACCTTAATTCTTGGATGTAATACCCATGAAATGACACCCAGCACGCTGACTAGTTGAAAAATGATGCATATGAGATAAAATTAATCAAATAACACTGGTGCACCCCAGTGGAGTGCATAATTAATTTTTCAGTTTAAACAGTGAAATTATCTCATTTTGAAAGTATAAAATCCAGCATATATGCCTGGATCCACACACTGACTGTTCTGTGTGATATCACGCTACAAGCATGTGATGTGGGATTGGAACAATGATGTAATGATGAGACGCTTTTTTTCTCCTTCTTCTTCTTATCATAGGCTAATAGTTGGGTTTTCTTTTTTGACTGTGCTACTGGAATACAGGGTGAAAAACGAATGTGTGATTCACGGAAAGGAGGAACTGGAAAGAAAGACTGCTACACATAATAGAGAAGACTGCTTCATATAATAATGTGAAGCAGTGGAAAAGCTTGCCTTATTTTCCTATTCTGTGCATCAGCTTAGTGTTATACTTCCACAAGGTAAGATATAACAAAAAATGAAAACATCAAATTGCTCCCAGTGTGATCTTTTCATTTGGAGAACCCGTATCTTCAGCGTCCCTTTAATAACTACTGTACGAATGCTTGATGATTTTTCTGGGATGTTGAAAGCTTGTAAAAGTGGGTGCATGATTTGTACTGTTCCAGTTATACTGTTCTGTTTATGGTGTGAAACCTGACATCTAATACAGCTTTTTAAAGAGTCTTGTCATGGTTTGCAGACCCAAAGAGGACAAACATCTAAGATTTCCTAATCTTGATTTTAATACGGTCTGATAATAAGTTTAGTGTCTGTAATAGGCTCAAATATCTTGGACATCTTATTACAGATCAAATGACAGTTATTGATATTGCACAAGCAAAACCCCCACTTATCAAATTTAAGACTTTAATAAACCACAATTATCAGCTGTCAAGACAATTTTCATATTTTAAAGCATTTTTAATTATTTATTTTTTTGTGCTTATTTTACTTGATCTTTTTTTTTTTACTTTGTGACTTTGCGGGTCAACATGCTGGAAGCAGCCATCAGAAGATGGGTTCACTGTAGTCATGAAGGGATGGAGATGCTCAGCAATAATACTCACGTAGCTGCGGTGCTTAAACAAAGCTCAGATGTTAGTAAGGGTGTTCTGGCAAAGAAATGTCTCTACACCATTACACCAGCAGCAGCAGCATGAACCAATGATATAAGGCTGGCAGGATCCATGCTTGCAAGCTGTTTACGCCAGATTCTGACCCTATCATCTGGAAATTGCAGCAGAAATTAGAACTCATCAGAGCAGACAACATTTTCCAATCTTCTGTTGCCCAATTTTGGTGAACCCATGTGAACTGTACTCTCTGTTGTCTGTTCTTAGGTGTGGCACCTGGTGTAGACTTCTGCTGCTGAAGCTTATACGCTTGAAAGTTTGACGTTTGTGTATTTAGAGATTTAGACCTGCTTTTCTGCTCTCCTATCAGCTTCTCCGTAAACCCTACTGATGGTTGTGTGGTCAAATTTTAGCAGATCAGACAAGTCACCTACAAAAGTTTTATGTTCAAAACCTTGAACATCACACTTAAATCATCGTAAATTATCCGCCCCTCCCATTCTAATGCTCACTTTGAACTTCCGCAGGTCTTGGCCGTGTCTACATGCATACATGCATTCAGTTGCTGCTGTATAACTGGCGGGTTATATATTTATAAAATCCAAAGCCAATTACAGACCTACAGAGGACATATAAAGTTAAATGCGTATGTAAAATCGGAGACTTCCGGGTCGGGAAACACTGAATGTTTTCATGCTCGCTGACTGCTGAAAAGCTTTGAATAAACTGTATGAGTGCCATGAGTTTTCCCACATCCGTGTCCCTCTGGCAGTCACTCGTCATCATCCAGCTCGCTGGACATTTAAAATTCTTGCAACGTAATTACGTCCAGCGCTACGTTTCTTATCGTTTCAGCACCCTATTGGACCAGCCCTTTGAGCCTATAGCCAATCAGAGGACAGGAACCAGGAGGGCACTGATTGCAAATACGGAAATACAGTGAGAGCATCCGCGTCGTTATATTTACCTTTCATCTCAGGCAGTTTAAGAGTTTGTGATTAAAAGGAGACTGTGCACAAAGCAAGTATTTTTTCCCCCGCTCTATGGATTTGTTGTCGCTTCTGTCATGGGCCTGCATCGTGTTCACAGTCGGGATGTTCTCGACTGGACTGTAAGTTTAAATGATCGTCAATTGCATGCATCTATGTTTTATCTTACTTCCTGCTCTAACTTTGTAAGGATGGGAGAAAGTACGAAGAAAGCAAGATCCCACTGAGACAGGATGGAGATTTTCTGAACTGCTTGCACTTGGTAGCATCACAACAACTTTATAGTGAAGGAATGCAAGAAAGTGCTAACACTAAACATGGAGTTATTGGTTTAAATTGCTATTAGCATCTCCAGCCTATTCTTTTGTTTTTTATTCTTTCTGTGTGTGTGTATGTCCATGCGTGTGTGTGTGTTTCTAGGACCGACCTGAAAAAGATGCGAGAATCCAAAAGTACAGACAATATCCAGTTTCTCCCTTTCCTCACCACGTGCCTCAAGTGAGTTTCTCTTTCCGCTTTTGCATAATTCACTGTGATGCATCATCACTAATGTTCCTGTTGTTTCTATAGTAACCTTGGTTGGATGTATTATGGGATTCTGAAGAGAGATCAGACGATTATCCTGGTCAACATCATCGGTGCTCTTCTCCAGATACTTTACATCATCATGTACTTCCGCTACACGAAGCAGAGGGTCAGCATAGTCAGACCTGTCATAAAGCACTCTCCTTACTTGCTGCTGGATCTTTAATTTATCTGTCTCTGTATTTGTTGGTTTCAGAGGTTAGTGTCCTCCCAGACCCTCACAGCAGGGATTGTACTGATCTGCGGTTGGCTCTACTTCACCATGTTTCTTACTGATGGAGACATTCGTCTCAGCCAGCTGGGACTCACCTGCAGCGTGGTCACCGTCAGCATGTACCTGTCACCGCTCACCGACCTGGTACAATTCACACCACAGACAAACACAACATACAGGCAGCGTGTAGAACGTCGCCTGTGTTTGTTTTCTCTCACTGAACTGAATAATATTTCAGAACATGATCTGGAAATCAGTTACATTTGGATCATGGTACCAAAAAACTCGTCTTAATGAGTTTTATATTGTAAAGGTAAACACTTTTAGTAGTAGAGAGAAAATCCTGCTAACAGCAAGGGTGTGAAGGAAGAACTCAACATGCG